CATCATCATCATCATCATTCATCATCATCATCATCATCATCATCATCATCACCATCATCATCATCAGCATCACATCATCATCATCATCATCATCATCATCATCATCATCATCATCATCATCATCATCATCATCATCACAATCATCATCATCATCATCATCATCATCAATCATCATCAATCATCATCATCATCATCATCATCATCAATCATCATCATCATCATCATCATCATCATCATCATCAATCATCATCATCATCATCATCATCATCATCATCATCATCATCATCATCATCATCATCATCATCATCATCATCATCATCATCATCGTAGTACAAGGCTTAATTTCTAACTATTAAGTGGGAAGTCTTAAATTTAACTCCATCAAATTGGCTCAGATAGCTAATTAGTATCTTTAGGGCGTTTATATAAAGCTGAATTTTATACATTGAGTTTTCAATGGTTAAGATCATGAGTCAGTTGAAGCTAGACCATCACCATGGAAAACCTGGAAGCATTGAATGGCCTTTTCATCCTATTGTGGGACTCCTCCTTGGCAGTGCTCATCCACGACCTCGCCCCCTGCGAGATTCTAACCCAGGACATACTGGTTTCGCGCGCGAGCACTGAACCACTAGACTACTGAGCCGGCCAGCATCCAACGGTGTTAATGTCTAACTTCAACTAATCCACAAAATTGAGCGACACATCCACCATTTGTCTTCAGTGAGTTACTATCTCAAAACAGACTTGGTTGAACTTCACTGGTCACTACTTCTCATTAGAAATCCAGGATATACCTTTTGAAGCCAGTCACTGGTGACTTTTTGAAATGGTACAATTTACATCATAGTTACCATCGCAAGAAGCACTAGACGGTGATTCGATTCGAGTTACAAACGCATCACTAACGTGAAACCCCCATCCTACATGAAATAGAAACTATGACCGACAAGTACATTACTTGAAATCGACATCTCCTGTCTGAATACATTTGACATTGAACAATTAAACAGTATAACATTGAGTTCTGGAGTTAACTGATCACGCTCTATGCTACCTAAATAGAATAACATCAACACGTAGACAAAAAGGGAATGGATTATTGAATTTGTGTTTTTACATTGATGGATTAAGCGTTTGTTTAACAAGCTACTAATTGAAAATGATAAACAGTTATACAGTTGTAACAAAGTGTAATAAATCCACTTTTTGTATGGGCGGTGGGATCGTGGATGTACACTTCTGAGGAGTCGCATAGTAGGACGAAACAGCCGTCCAGTGCTTCCACGTTTTCCATAGTGATCTAACTTCAATCGACTTATAAATTCAACTATTCAATATAAAAGATATAAATTTATCAAATTCATTTGAACTTAAACAGTCATTTCATCAAGTATGAAAAAGATTTAGATCCATTCATATGATAGGAAATTTGAACTACAACTCTAACAAACACTTAAAGACATCATACAATTAGTAGAATGGGTTTTGTGGAGAATTAGTAATTTCAATAGTTGAAATCATCTGCTCACTAGTGACTGACTTCAAGAGATACTCATGGAGTTCTAGTGAGAAGCCGTGACCAGTGGAGTTCAACCAGGTCTGTTGTGAGATATCAGCTCACTGAAAACAATGGTGACGGTGGCGCAACTTCGTGGATTGGTTGAAGTTAGACATTAACACCGTTGGATGCCGGCTCAGTGGTCTAGTTGGTTAAGCGCCTGGCGCGAGACTGATAGGTCCTGGGTTGGAATCCCGCGGGGGGTGGGATCTTGGATGCGCACTGCTGAGGAGTGCCATACTAGGACGAAACGACCGTCCATTGCTTCCAGGTTTTCCATGGTGGTCTAGCTTCAATTGATTCATGATTTCAACATCATACAATTGTTGGAATGATCCAGAAAAATTTCTCGCAAAAGACACATAAGGATCAGGAAAACACTAAAAAGCATTTCATTCAATCAGCGTTCACTTGGAGTTTTAGCCAGAAAACATCAAGGACGTGAAACGTTACATGTAGAGATTCTGATTGACTGATTGTTCACAATCGATTGATCATTGGGTAGTGATCAATGTCATGCATGTCTAGTCCTTATTATTAGTGCAGATCGAATGTTATCGATCATGTTGGAATGTGGCCATCAGTCTAGGTGATTCGACACCGCTGGCACTATTGTGAGATTAGGAGGTGTTTGAAGGCAGTCAACAGGAAACCCTGGACTTGAGTTTCGTGCTACTTGGCAATCAATCAATTGTGATTACATCTCAGTCCTATAGGAGGTCGGTCACGGCTCGGATAGCTCAGTGATAACATCTCTGACTGTGAAGCTGGGTGACACGAGATCGGCTCCGCCAGGGAGCACCAGTTCCTTCAAAGATTAAAGGTGCACCTTTCTGACAAGTGCCAAGTAGCATAAAACTTGGATCCATGATTTCCTGGCTGATTGTTATACTGCTACTATTTATTTATTTATTTATTTAAACACATAAATATTGGCACAAGGGGGCACCAGATATATATGCGCCACCCTTTGTGTGTAGGCTGAGATACTACCCAGGTGCCCAGACCAAAGCAGGTGGTTTTCTTAGGGGGCCATACCCCGAGCCTTCGACCTAAAGGTCTAACCCACAAGACAGTGGAGCATCGTGAGGAGATGCAGTCCCATGGAAGCCGGTGACCAAGATATTGGTTCATACGCCGTTTGTTCCCTCAGGCAGGATACTGGAGCCAGCCCATGTGCACCATTGGTTTGGGATCCGGTTAAAGCCGGTGCCGGACATTCGCTTTTCGTCCTCTCATTTTCGTAAACAACAGTAATGCCACGAGAAGGCAGTGAGTAGGACTTCCCTGGCAGAGGTTATATATACGCGTGGCCATGTGTGAGGGCGAACCCACCCCACTCTCAGCCATACCAGGGCATTTGAGGGCAACTATGTTTAAGTAGCATTCCCAAAATCTTCAAGTAACCCAAGAACATTAAAATATTATAAAAAACCTTATATTATCTGTATTAAAATGAACCTTTGGAATAAAGTACTTTTCGCATACTTTGCGCCTTTCTCTCTCTCTCTCTCTGTCATGTTCAGGTCACTGTATAAACTTCTAGCTTGAGGATTACAAGAACAGTTTAGGCATCGAGTGTAGCATTCAATTTCACAAAACTTATCATCAATCCATATGATATTGATCAAATAAAGAATAAAAGGATGAACTTAAACAAGATAAGTATTATATGAATCAATGAATGTTATACATGTAACTCCGCCTGGAGCCCTTTTCCGGGGGCTACTGCCGGTCCCAAGCTCGGATAAAGGTGGAGGGTTGGGCATGGGGTTAGCGACCTCATCCCGTAGAAAACTAACTCGCTAAAAAAAAACAACGCTAACCAAAAATGTTATACATGTAAATATTGTCATTTAGTTAGATATAAACTTGATTTCCTATTATAATTACTTATAGTATAATGATTGAACATATATTTCAGTAGTATAGAGATCTTTCAAAAACAAAAAAAACAAACAAACAGTCAACTGAAGTAGATCAAAGTACATACAAAGAAAGATATAAGATGACTTTAATCTTTTAGTTGAAAAGGAAGATAAAGAGTGTATACACTGACAGCATTGTGATCGATTCTAAGTGATGTCATTCATAGTCTATAACCATTAGTTATGATAGTCACATGAACCCCAACCAGGTTGTCTGCATTTACTAGTATAGCTCAGATAAGAAGTTAGTGACTTCAAGGACTGATGTCACGTTTCCGTTTGGCAGCCCCCAACTTTTTTCTAACTATTCCTAACACTAGTCAGTATTAAGCGTCGTGATAATCGATGTTCAGATATACGTAACACATGACTCAACCATCTCCGTCGATAAAGATTTATAACCTTATTAACTGACCTCATTATTACTTGACACTCGTTGATCTCAGCACATGCAATCAATATTTTCAAGGCATCTTTAGTCAAATACTTGAACAAGATATCATCAGAGATTGCTAGGTTTGATAGCTATCATGAGTTTACTTAATTTGCGAACAAGAAACAAGACTCAATGACCAAAGACCAGTAAGCTAACTATGGATGCATCCCAGCCTCGCTATCTAGACAGAGACGTCCAAGTTTCGAATGGGAAGTATTTTCTGTAACAGGCAGAAAACGAGCGATCACCACAAACACAATTTAAAACGTATATATACAAATATATATATGTCGGTATTACCATGGTGCTTAGAAACATTTAATCGATAATTTCATCAATCGACTATATGCGTGAGTGGTAAGAAATGCCCACGTATACATCTGCATACCAGCTCCACCAAGGTAAAATTACAAACTATCAGATTTTTTTTTGGGGGGGGGGTGATCTATCGTCCCCAAGAGACATCAATGGAAGATATAAGATATTGATTGTTGTATAGTGAAGACCGCAAAATACTTCGGATCCGTTGGCCGGACACTATTAGCAACAACATACTGTGGGAGAGAACAAATCAGATCCCAGTGGAGGAAGAAATCAGGAAGAAGCGCTGGAAGTGGATAGGACACACATTGAGGAAAGCACTCAACTGCGTCACAAGACAAGCCCTCACATGGAATCCTCAAGGCCGAAGGAGGAGAGGAAGACCAAAGAATACATTACACCGAGAAATGGAGATAGATATGAGAAAAATGAACAAGAATTGGATGGAACTAGAAAAGAAGGCCCAGGACAGAGTGTGTGGGTTGGAGAATGCTGGTCGGCGGCCTATGCTCCATTGGGAGTAACAGGCGTAAGTAAGTAAGTAAGTAATAGTGAAGACAAAAATTGAACATCATCTATTTCATTACTTGAATATCTTTTATTATGATCCCATCATCAAAGAATTAATCCAAGACCCTACTAACATTTTAAAGTCTAGCTTGCCCCAAACTTTGATAAAGCAGAACACTCATATTAAACTATTTTTCAACAGACTATTCAATTAATCTTCTGAATACTTTATGTTCAAACCCTAATGTTTCCGATTACTGTTTATACTTTTACTCTTACTACTACTACTACTACTACTACTACTACTACTACTACTACTACTACTACTACTACTACTACTACTACTACCACTACCAACACTACTACTACTACTACCTCTACTACTACTACTACTACTACTACTACTACTACTACCAACACTACTACTACTACTACTACTACCTCTACTACTACTACTACTACTACTACTACTACTACTACTACTACTACTACTACTACTACCAACACTACTACTACTACTACTACGACTACTAATACTACTAATACTACTACCAACAGTACTACTACGACTACTACTACTACTACGACTACTACTACTACTACTACTACTACTACTACTACTACTACTACTACTACTACTACAACTACTACTACTACTACTACTACCACTACTACTATTACTACTACTACTACAACGACTACTAATTCTACTATTACTACTATGACTACTAATACTACTAATACTACTTATACTACTACTATTACCATTAATACTACTACTACTACTAATACTACTACTACTACTACTACTACTACTACTACTACTACCAACACTACTGCTACTAATTCTACTACTACTACCAACACTACTGCTATGGGATTTGAATCGATAACTGTATCTCTATGCTAATATGATATAGCAACTCGAACTGATTTACGTACGTACGTACAAAGTTCTACGTTTTTACTGACTGACTGATTGACTGATTCAATCAAATAGCTTAAAATTTCATAATGTTTTACACAGAAATGTTAGTACAATTTTCTAATTTTAAACCATGTAAACAGCTGTTTAAACTGAAGAAAACCAAGAAAATAAAAAAAGAAATCCCCTCGAAAAACAGTTTTTTTTTAAAAAAATATAAATTGGTTAACTGCCAATTATAATTCGGTTAGTAGTATACGTTTTAGTAACCAAATCACTATGGTAACTATTCATTTTATAATCAGTTACTATCCATCCAAATGTGTATCTATGTGTGTCTGTATATCTATCTGTATGTATGTAGATATTAAATTATTACTATACCGAGTTATTAATCAAGTCAATAATGACCTAAACTAATATTGATTATTGATTATTGATTAATTGATTAATTATTGCCCAGGACAGGGTTGGATGAAGAATGCTGGTGAATGGTCTATGCTCCTTCACGAGGAATAACAGGCGTAAGTAAGTAAGTAAGTAAGTAAGTGTTAAAATTGATCATCTAAATGATAGTTACTAAGACCCAGATTAAATTGATTTCATCAATCCATACTTATAGTCATATATTTACTCATTCTAATGAGAATTTCATCAATGATGAAGGTTAGCTATGTTAAGAATAAAGTAATGAACATTCATTGTATTGTATGATACATGAAGATCTAAAGATTAGACTATGACAATGATGGGTTTAAACTGCTGAGGAGTTCCTATACAAGGATGAAATAACTATACAATGTTTCCTTGTTTTTCATTGTTATTGTTATGATGCGTGCTACTTATATGTAGATATAAGTAGTATATAATGTTAGTCAGGAACAGAATGTCTGGCAGTAGAGAGAATGAAAACAGAATGTAATTTGTATGAAAAAAAGAAATGCAAGAACAATGGAAGTCTGAATCATTTTGAGACAATTGATGGACATTTTGTAACTTCTAGCAATTCAGAGAGATATCCAGTCATGATAATAACATGTGAAGTTGGCTAGTTAACTTGATATATTGGTTCTGGTTGTTTGTTGTGATGACTACAACTGGCTATATCGGATTCCATATTTTAAAATCGAAGGTCAGTATACCATTACTGCTACTACCCTCTCAACAGTTACTTCCTTACGAGTGTTATTCCTTATGGAAGAGCATAGACCGCCCACCAACACTCTTCAGCTAACCATGTCTTCCATGCACCAATTTGCTATGTAATCAGTCATATAAGTTCTGCATGATGTGGATAATTTTCTCAGCTACTCATTCCATGCTCTGGAAAAAGGTTCCATAAGTTTCTTCTAACCGCATTGTCAAATTGATGCATAGTGACAAGTTCCATTCAACTGATTGTTCGACAATGATCTGTAGTGTCATAATTGGATCAGTGCACGACCGATCCTTACAGAATCTAGCCTGTTAATCTTGAAGTTGAGCGTCTACTGCATCTTTCATCCAGTTCAGAAACACTCTGTTAAAGACTTTCCCTGATATTGACAATAGTGTGATGTCTCTGTCGTTTTCACATCTCTTTTCTATGAAATCTTCATGACGTGTCGTTTTATTTCAATCCATTGGCACTTCTTCTTCTTCTTCTTCCTATTAAATCTTCTTGAATAGAAGATGAAACATGTTTGTAGCTACTTTAATCACAATCGATTGATTACTGGGTAGTGACCAATGTCATGCATGTCTAGTCCTTATTATTAGTGCAGATCGAATGCTATCGATCATGTTGGAATGTGGCCACCAGTCTAGGTGATTCAACACTGCGGGCACTATTGTAACACGGTGACACGGAATTGAATCCGTCAGGGAGCACCAGTTCCCTCAAAGATTACAGGTATACCTGGGTCCTAGGTTTCCTGTCGACTACCTCTAACCACCATCTAGTTACTTTATTGTTTGACTTCAGTGCTTCAACTAGTCGATTGAATAATACAAATACAAACCATCTCCATTTCAGATAATGTCAATCAACTTTATGTTTCATAGATTCCATGATTTAGCGTTAAGTAATAACAATATAAATACGTATACGGGTTCTTGTATATCACTTCTATACCCTTTTTTTATTATTTTTATTTATTTCTAGTATAAATTTTTCATAGTAACCAATAATGGAATCCAAGACAAAGCAGGTTTCGTCCCATATGAGACTCATCAGTTAGATGTATCTACCTACATCTTAGACTTGTTGATGTTCATTCTAGAACTCGAACTCAATACCATTCACTTCAAACGCTATCATGTTATCCATTCAGCTATTGAATCTTGATAGCTACTTCTTTGTGTATTGTTTACTACACAAAACGTATACACAAACAGTATACACGGATCAATTACAATCTTAAAAATTTCAAAAGGGGGGAAGATTACAAACTAAATAAAATCAATATTTACCGAAATAATCAATAAGGGATATATTATAAATCATGTATATGTTTCTATGGTAAAACACACCCATAAAGGAACAAAAATGCTGGTAAGGTAATTCATTACTATCATTTCTATGGGGGGAAATATTTTGTTGTTGTTGTTGTTGTTGTTGTTATTGAAAATATAAATGAAGGAGTAAAGAAATATACATGTATGTATATATATATATATATAGTAACACCGTTGGTTGCCGACCAGCTCAGTGATCTAGAGGTTAAGCGTTTACAAGCGAAACCGACAGGTTCAGGGTTCGAATCTCGTCAAGTGAGATTATGGATACACACTGTTGAAGAGTCCCATAATAGGATGATTTGGTTATCCAGTGCTTCTAGGTTTAGGTTTTTTTTTATATGGTGGTCTAACTTCAATTGACTCATGAATTTAACCATTCCTTATTGATAAGAATGGATATGTTTTAATAAGCGTTATTTATATGAAACCAGTTACATTAAATCTAAACAACGATGTTAACAGTCGAATAAGAAAACGATATGTAATACAAAGAGATCAATCTGTCTTGGAACAATCAATGAATAGGTTCAATGTTCAAAGATATTTCTTGAATCTTATTCAATTTTATTGATTTGAGACTTTGTCTATCACGTGTCTTAGATACCTTGAGAATTCTCATAAATAAGTTTAAACTATACGTTTATAAGATGAATGAGAGTAACATGTAAGATGTAGTTAGTCAGTCAGTAACAACGTGGAACTTCGTACGTACGTACGTACGTACATCAGTTCGAGTTGCCATACCATATTAGCACAGAGATTCAGTTATCCATTCAAATCCCGTAGTGGTAGAGGTAGTGAAAGTATAAGTAGTGATAGGGAACATTAGGGTTTGATGATGTTCTTTAAAGAGTATAGTCCAGTGGAATAGATTTGGAAAGAAAATAAAGGACATGAAGAATACAGAAGATTAGAGTTTGAGAGAACACAGAAAGTGGATACATCTGCACCATTGCAAACGATTTTGAGCCATGTCATTCAAGATCTCTAACCATCGGTTGCTATGATCTCGTGGTCCCCAACCAAGTAGTCTACACCTACCAACATGGCTCAGTCATGTAAGACGTAAGTGATATTACACTTCATTTTTTGTGTAATTAATGCGTTAATAACAGTTTGACTCATTATAAACAAAGATGAACAATGGCTAGAAGTAGAATCCAGGACGCACGTTTCATCCTATTTAGGACTCGTTGGCTGGATGTACCTGTAACTCAGAATCGATGTTCATCATGGGACGCAAACCCAGTACTATTCGTTTCAAAATCCATCGCATTATCTACTTAACTACTGAGTTCTGATAGCCAAATGCTTGTTCAATGAGGTGAAGTTAAAATTCACTTAGTATTATTTACTTGAATCTTCTCATTGATTTTTAGGACCGTAATTGGTCAGTCTCTTATTAGCATATATGCGTTCTGTACGGACGGCCTCGATATCGTCTTAATTCACAAGTATTCTAAGCAAAGGTGGATTGAAGCAATTATAATGGAGTTTTGTTCTTTGAGTTAGATGGTTTGGTCGTGGAGCTATCATTGTTCCTCTGAACGACATCACCAGCGCCAACATTAGGCAAAGTTTCCTAAAGTACCTAAAATTTGTGCTGATGTTGTCGTTCAGAAGAATGATGAAAACTTCACGACCAAACTAACCAACTCAAAGAACAAAACTCCATTAAAATCATCCACTTGAGCTATAAATCTTCTCCATACTAAAACCATTAGATGCCGGCTCACTGGTCCAGTAGGTTAAGCGTTCACGCGCGAGACTGAAGGACCTGAGTTCGAATCCCACGGGGAGCGGGATCGTGGATGCACACTGCCAAGGAGGAGTCCCATACTAGGACGTTAAGCTTGAGTGCTACTGCCGATTAGTCTTACTCGGAACGGAACGAACGAAGGATCAAGGATTCAGAGATTCGATAGGCTATTCTGATCCGTGGTCCCCCCCAACTCAGCTAACTCGATTAAGAAGTCTTGGTTAGACGTAGGAAGTGTATTCTACAGGCAACCAACAGATACCAGGTCCATCAGGTACACAAATCAAGCGTATTTATGCAAATATATATTTATAATCGATATTGTCATGGAAATTCTTTTAAACATTTAATCGATAAGTTCATTACTTGACTACCCTTCAAATATTTAAACATTTAATCAATAAGATAAAATTACAAAATATGAGTTTCGGGGGATCTATCGTCCCCAATACCCCTCGCCTTTTTAATAGCCTACTTTACGGGGTCGACCTGCATCTTGACTGTTGCTCGCCGCTGTCGAAGAGGCCACCGTCTGGAACGTGTTTCAGCTTGTTGTTGAGATTTTCTTGTGGTAGGGTTGCCGGTAAGTTGAATGTGTCTATCAGGATGTCCAGAAGAATATTTGCTTCGGTTGATGTGCGATCTGGGGCTAACTGATTCCGATGGCATTGCCACCTATCGCTGCCTACCTCAACTTCATACATGAATCGGCTAACTCTTCTGACCACTCGCACTTCCGTCCATGGACCATGGGTTGGTCTGTAGTCACAGGCAAACACAGGACATCCCACTTCATACGTGGGTTGCTTTTCAAACTTTGTCCATTTTGGTGTCGATGAATTACTTGGATGCATTAGGCTGTGGATCGTCCCATAAATACATGAACTGAGTTAGTAGGGATTTTGGTCAAAACTCATAAAATATTTTCTCAAAATATTGATAACTGTCCACGGATGCACCTCACTGAACAAAACAGCCATGTCTAAGTAAGTCAAATATTTCAGTCGGATTTGTCAAAAATGCGAAACATGATATAGGACTAGGAAGACTACTGACCTCTATTAGATCCCAAATAGTCAGATATGACCAAGGACGGGAAGAGTCAGCTATCTCTTTCTTGAAATGATCTTACATAACCACATGCATACAGTCACTAACAGGGAATTCTTACTCACTACTTTCTTGTTGTGAGGATGTTGTTTACAAAATTGAGAGGACGAAATGTGAATTTCCAACGTTTTAATTAGGTTGGTGGATATTAAGGATCTAACTAGGAGAGTTGGTGTTGGGGACGATAAATCTTCAAAACTCATAGTTTGTAATTTTATCTTGGTGGAGCTGGTATGCAGATGTATACGTGGGCATTTTTTACCACCCACGCATATAGTCGATTGATGAACTTATCGACTAAATTTTTCTAAGCGCCATGGTAATACCGACATATATTTATTTGTATATAAACGTTTTAAATTGTGCTTGTGGTGATCGCTCGTTTACTGCCTGTTACAGAATATACTTCCCATTCGAAGCTTGGACGTCTCTCTCTAGATAGCAAGGCTGGGATGCATCCATAGTTAGCTTACTGGTCTTTGGTCATTGAGTCTTGTTTCTTGTTCGCAGAATAAGTGAACTCGTGATAGCTTGAAATCTAGCAGTTGATGACATATGAACCTATAGTTAGTCACCAGCTACTATGTGACTGCATCTTTAAACGTTGCTTCACTACCTTATGGAATAGGCCTTAAGGTCTAAGTGTTGAGGAGTGACTCCGTAAGAAAACTATCTGCTTCAATTTGAGCGGCTGAATAATATTACAGCGATTACATAAATCGAATGATCTGTGTAGCGCATGTATATTTGGTGCTTCCTTCTATAGCTGAGAAAAATGCAAAGTCTTTGAGATCCTGAAAGTTTCCATTTATACACTCACCATCTAGAATATGATCAATGAACTGAATCTTGGAAAATCCATAGAGATACATAAGTCAGTTAAATAGTGTAACTTCTGTTAAGTATCCAGAATAGTTTAGACAGTAGAGATGATAAAGGTGTGTTGTCTCAACTAATGAATATTCTCATGACGATTAAAGCTGATTTATCCCACACACACACACCCCCGCGTAAAGTTCTTAACATATGATTTCAGTTCATGTTTATTGACTGGTATTTTGTTTCTTTAATTATGATCTTTTTCCTCTCTCCAGGACTAATATTCTCCGAAGGTTCACAAACCGTGATCTAATACAATTAAAATAGGGTTCCGTTTTTCTTATCGACTAGTTAATGATTGGAACGCCTTGACTGAACAAGTAGTATCAGCCCCATTAGTGAATATTTTCAAGAAGTAACTGAACCTTCACTGGAAGACAATCTGTTAGAATTAACACAGGTTCATTAACCTAATATCCTTACTACTGAAGACTAAAGACTGGAAAGATTATATTAGCACTTTTTAAAATGGACTATATTGACATGACTTCCGAGAACTATGATGGAGTCTTCAGAGGTTCTAGAATAGTCAAATCAGTCAATTAATCAGCTACAACGTAGCACCATGGCACATATATGCATCGGTTCAAGTTGTCATACCTCATTAGCACTGCAAGACGAACACAGGATTCATAGGAGTAGTCACATCAAGAGTAGTAGTATATAAAAGAAAGATTGTGTATAAGGATATAATACAGGAAGAAAGAATTAGTTCGTAGAAAGAAAGATTTGAAGTGATTTTAATCTCTTAGTTTAAAGGAAGACAGAGAGTGTATACACCGACGCCATTGTGATCGATTCTGAGCCATGTCACCAAGAGTCTCCAACCATTGGTTACGATAGTCACGCGGACCCCAACCAGGTAGTCTGCATCTACCAACATGGCTCAGACCAGAAGTTAGTGACTTCAAGTACTGATGCCACGTTTTTAGTTTGACCGCCCTTAACTTTCTTCCAATTATCTCTAACACCAGTGAGTATTGCGCGTCATGGTAATCAGTGTTCAGGAATACACAACACGTGGTCTAACCATCTCAGTCGATGAAGATTCATAGTCAAATAGTTCCATCCAATTAGAACTTTCTAGAATATCAATATCTTCTCAGTTGAGACTTTGGAAGGATTCTAACATTCAGGTGTTTAAATCATAGGCGATATATATTAAGAATCTAAACTTTTAAAGATAACAGACTGTGAATCTTAACAAAACTTAACTTACTAAAATCTTTTTTCCTCCACTTTCTTTACTTAAAGAAGATGATTTACTATCACAATTAAATAAACTTGGCATATAAGGTAATGATATATCATGATCAATGAAATGTTCCATAGGATAATTTGAAATAGAAGACTGTTGTTGTTGTTGTTGTTGTTGTTGTTGTTGTTGATGATGATGATGATGATGATGATGATGATGATGATGATGATGATGATGATGATGGGAATGTTGAAAATGTGAACGATTTAATTTGATCGAACTTCTATGATCATGATGATCATCATGATCATCATGATCATGATGATGATGATATCGAATTAAAGATGATGAACGTCGTGGTGATTGATGAATCAATAATGGATCAATATGTTGTCCCTCTTTTTTTATAGATAATCTATCTGGGATATTATGAATCGTATGATTCAATGGAATAGATGAATTGATTTCTTTCAATGAATAATCATTACAGTTAGATACTAAAGATGTAAAAGAATTTGTATTATTATTATTATTATTATTAGTGGTGGTGGTGGTGGTGGTGGTGTTGTTGTTGCTATGGTCATGTTCTTGATTGAAGTAACCTATAAAATAAGAAATATGATATACATGTATATCTATATATACAAAGGAAATCTGATTAGATTACATACTATTCAACCAATAAGGTTCTAGATCAGTTAGTCAGTTAGTCAGTCAGCTGCAACGTAGGACCAGGCACATATATGCATCGGTCCAAGTTGCCACATCGCATTAGCACAACAAGAAAACGACCTTTTTCTAACCCCACCCGTTTTTACGGGAAGGAAGTATCACTGTTATGCTGGTTGTCTGAAGGAAACATCTTACTGCTGTCACACCTCTGTACAGTCAGCAGTACGACTTCGCTTTCGGACCTTGGATTTATTGCTTTTAGTCATAACGCTCTTCAACCAACCTGTCTAGCATGGTAGGACCTTTAGGAACGACTGTTCCAACCAGTTTAGCTTCATCACGATAAGCAAGCCCAACCACCACTTCATCGTAGCAACAACAGTTGGGAAGGTTCTAGATAGCAACAACTTGTGCAAACTGTAAGTAGAAACTAATAAGAATAATAAGGTTTAATACTATAGATTCTGTGATAGTAAAGAATTCTCAGTATCAACTGTGAAGATTATTAAGTGTTAAATAGAGATCATGAATTGATTCATGTTAGACCACCATTGAAAACCTGAAAACACTGGACAGTCATTGCATCCTAGTATTGGATTCATCAATAGTGTGCATCCATGATTCCGCTCGCGCGATTCGAACCTAGAACCTTCGATCTCGCACGTGAGCGCTCAAACCTTAGACCACTGAACGGGTAGCATCCAACCAATCCACGAAATCGCACCACCATCTTCCATTATACTGACGTAGATACCTGTTTTTACCTATTAAACATCTGACTATTTGTTGTTGTTTAACTAGGCTTTTCCTGTCGTTCAAATAGTTTTTCACTCGTTTTTTCTCTCTTTTTATTGTAAACAAAGTGGATACTACAAACATATAAACACCTACCTACCTACCTACCTACCTACCTACTTACCTACATATACATACACACATACATACATACTACATACACACTACATACACACATACATATACACATGAAATATATCATGCTGTTTCATGTCGTAATTCATTACTCTTGATGTTTCTTTTTGTTTTTCGTTTAAAACGAAATGTGTACAATTTACAAATGATCTGATGAAACAATAAATAAAGCTATTCATGTGGATTAGTTAATGTTAGACACTAACACCATTGGATGCCGATCAGCTCATTGGTCTAGTAGATTAAGCGTTCATGCGTGAGACTGAACGCCCTGAGTTCGAATCCCACGGGGAGCGGGATCGTGGATGTACACGGCTAAGGAGAAGTCCCATACTAGGATGAAACGGCTGTCTAGTGCTTCCAGGTTTCCAAACGGTGGTCTAACATTAATTGATTCATGATCTTAATCAAAAACTTAATCATCTCCACAACCCCAATACAGAACCTTATAGTTGACATCATCTTATATGAGTAAGTATTCATATCATAGTCAAATATGAACTGGTATAGGGGGGGGAATAAAATATGGAATAAAGTCAATAATAATAATAAAAATCAATAATTTTCTGGCTCTTATCAATTGACAGATTTCTGAAGTAACTTCAGGAGAAGGAGAGTATTAACTGATTAACAAGGTACTTGAATATGAATTACAGTTTAGGCGTGAGAGTAAACGATTGGTACAAGGAGGCATCAAATATATATATACGCCAAATAGATCTCATTTGATATGTATGAAAGCTATGATACGGACCGGGTTCCTAAACCGAAGCAGGTGGTTTTCTTATGGGGCCACACCCCAAGCATTTGACCTAAAGGTCTGATCCACAAGGCAGTGGTGCATTGTAAGGAGATGCAGTCCCATGATAGCCGGTGATCAACGATTGATTCATATGCCATTTGTTCTTTCAGGATACTGGAGCCAGCTCATGTGCACCATTGATTTGGGATTTGGTTAAAGTGCCGGACATTCTCTTTTCGTCCTCTGATTTACGTAAACAACAGTAATGCCACGAGAATGCAGTGAGTAGGACTTCCTTGGTAGAGGCTATATACGCGTGGTCATATGAGAGCATTTGAAGAGGGAGAGCAGACTCTCCTCACTCTCGGCTGTACCAGGGCATTTAGGGGCAGAACGCAAACGATATTACCCAGTTGCCTAAATCAAATTAGTTGAAATAGATTTCAAACTTGAGACTAAGTGAATGAAAGTCATAGACCTTAACTACGAAGTCATTGATCCTCTCTTTATAATTATAAGACGCCCAGATACTATTTAGATATTTACGACTTGAACAATACAGTTTGATCGTCTGGCGCCATCAAACAATTATCAATGATTTCAGTGAATTAAAAGCTTAAAGTCTAGCATTGTACATTATGAATATATATATATATATATATATATATATATAAATCGCCCTCAAATGCCCTGGTACGGCCGAGAGTGGAGAGAGTCCGCTCTCCCTCCCGAAATGCTCTCACATGGCCACGCGTACATAGCCCCTGCCAGAGAAGTCCTACTCACTGCCTTCTCGTGGCATTACTGTTGTTTACGAAAATGAGAGGACGAAAAGCGAATGTCCGGCGCTATAACCGGATCCCAAACCAATGATACACATGGGCTCCAGTATCCTGAAAGAACAAATGGCGTATGAACCAATCATTGGTCACCGGCTACCATGGGACTGCATCTCCTTACGATGCTCCACTGCCTTGTGGATCAGACGTTCAGGTCAAAGGCTCGGGGTGTGACCCCCTAACAAAACCACCTGCTTCGGTTTGGGCACCCGGGCAGTATCACAGCCCTCACATAAATCAATTCAGACTCGTGTGGCGCATATGTAGATCATGCAGAATCTTCATACAATACACAACCACTGTTCTAACGAATACAGTTTATAATCTCAGAACAAATGAATACATATGCTTAGATAATAGGAAAAGGGATAGACAACAAACAATATACTTATATGTATATACATATGTACAATATCTCTCTTAGCTTATCAAGGTTATATAATCGGTGTATAGCGGAAAGAGTATGAGGTTGAGTAAATGAATACTGTCACTATGACTTCCACTTTATCATTCTCTTTTCATTGATAGTCACATTCATATATACGTAACCGGTATGTGTGTGTGTGTGTGAGTGTACGAGTCTGGAGCTATCGATGATAATGTAAATGGGTTAACATACATATGAAATACCATAACTGTATATATATATATAGCCTAGATATTAGACATAAATGAATAAAACCCAACCTAATGAAGTGTAATACCTATGACAAATGAATCAACCGTGAAAAAAAAAGGAATAACGATAAACAGAACAATACAAAAGGATAGTTGTACATTTCCATATTACCGTAATTTTATGGGTTTCTATGCGTGTGCGTGTGTGTCTGTGTGTGTGTATGTGCGATCGGGTGTGTGTGTGTGTGTGCGTCTATTGTCACTGTTTTAGTCAATGAATCTCAATAGAATAAACTACATTTTGCATAAAATGGGAAATACAATGAAATCAATCAAACAAACAAACAAACAAAAAATGTAGTCGATTGATTCATTGAGCATTGTCTGAGTTGAATCTATTCAATGGATAAAGAAATGATTGTTCAATCGATACAACTCTTTCTTTGATACATATTATCATCATTGAATAAACTACTTCTATGAATCAAGGTGTACATCTTGTTATGCTAATGAGGTATGGCTGTAGTGTGCGCTACTTATATTTAATATCATAAGTAGTATATGACGCCGATTGAAATCATGAATCATTTGAAGCTAGACACCACCATGAAAAACCTGGAAGCACTGGACGACCGTTTCGTCCTAGTATGGGACTCCTCCTCAGCAGTGCGCATCCATGGTTCCGCTTCTCGCGAGATTCGAACCCAGGACCTATCATTTAGACGACGGTTCAGTGGTCTAGATGGTTAAGCGCCTGGTACGAGACTGATAGGTCATGGGTTCCAATCTCGGGAGGAGCGGGATAGTTGATGCGCACTGCCAAAGAGGTGTCCCATACTAGGACGAAATGGCCATCCAGTGCTTCTAGGTTTTCCATGTTGGTGTCTAGCTTCAATTGATTCATGATTTCAAACAATGGATTGATGTTTGCAACAAGAACAGTTAAGTTTGATATGATAGATTGATATTTTGCAAATTAACGATATACTATATATGGCTGTAAGATTTTACAATCGATTGTATAGAGTAATTTAACCTCTACGTCATTAAACATTCAATTGTCCCCATTGGTGTTCTTGTTCACTACATGGCAACTTGGATTGATGCATATATGGGCCCGGTCCTATGATTGCAGTGATTGACTGATTCTTCAATTGAAAGATTATTTATTATTTATTTATTTTAACACATAGGTATTGGTGCAAGGAGACACCGAATACATATGTGCTACACAGATCTCAATTGATTTGTGTAGGGGCAAACGATTGGTACAAGGAAGCATCAAATATATATAGGCCACATACATTTCATTTGATATGTGTGAGGTCTGTGATACTACCCGGGTGCCCAAACCGAGGCAGGCGGTTTTCTGAGGGGACCACACCCCGAGCCTTCGACCTGAACATCAGACCCACAAGGCAGTGGAGCATCGTGAGGAGATGCAGTCCCATGGTAGCCGGTGACCAACGAGTGGTTCACCATTTGTTCCTTCAGGATACTGGAGCCAGCCCATGTGCACCAGTGATTTGGGATCCGGTTAAAGCCAGTGCCGGACATTCGCTTTTCGTCCTCTCATTTTCGTAAACAACAGTAATGCCACGAGAAGGCAGTGAGTAGGACTTCTCTGGCAGAGGCTATATACGCGTGGCCATGTGAGAGCATTTGGAGAGGGAGAGCGGACTCTCTCCACTCTCGGCCGTACCAAGGCATTTGGGGGGACCAATTGAAAGATAATTGTAAGTGGAAATATCATGAAATAAACTACTTCATATAGAAAGTCTTATCTTTAATAGAATTCATT